TTGCTCTGACTGAGGGCTGCTGGGAGCAGGGGGCGGGGCTTGTTGCATGTGCCCGCCCCCTGGGCTCTTTACTGCCGGAGCTCCGCTCCTGTGCGCTCCCGCAGGAAATGACCCCTGCTAATGAGGGAGGGTAAACTGGGAGTTGAAAGTGACAGAACGCTACAGGAAAATCATCCTGTCTAGCTACTCTCTAACCGTCATTTTTTCTGAGAGACTTCTGTACCCAGGGGTCGTTTCGTAGAAAAAGAGCTAGGGGAGCTCATTAGCATAACTCATTAGCATACGCCACACCCCCTGACATCACCGGAAGTGTGTCATAAGGCCACACCCCCTGCCATCACCGGAAGTGTGTCATAAGGCCACACACCCCGCCCCCAACGGTCCCGGCTGCCATCACCGGCCTTGCAGCTCCACTGCCGAGCCCCATGAGGGGCCCGGCGGTGGACCTGCAAGGCCGGTGGGAGTGCAAGGAAGCCCCGCGAAGGCCCTCCCTGGCCCCAGGCAGGCAGGGGTGGGGAGAGGCAGGGAGGAAGCAACTTACCCTCCCTCTTCTCCTGCCTCCTCCTGACTGAATGAGGGCCGGAAGGGGGGTGGCCAGAAGCAGGGGGCGGGGCTTCATCATGTGCCCCGCCGCCCTGTACCTCACCCGGGGGAACTGCGATCCCCCCCGATCCCCCCGAAATGACCTCTGTCTGTACCCCGTGTGAGGACGAACTAGAGAAGAAGGACAAAGAACAATAAACCGGAAACCCAGTGCTTACTCGCTAGTCCACCCGCAAAGTATAGATTACCAGTTGGAGAATCCCAATGCTAACTAACTTATTTATTTATTTATTAGTTCCATATGTCTCCCGCCCTCCCCGCGAACAGGCTCAGGGCGGCTTACGTTATTCGGGTACAAAGTACCTTAAAATCCACATAAAACATTTCAAACATTTCAAAACAATCAAATAATCAAAGTGCTCACAGTAATAATCATTCCTTTGTTAATTAAGATGGCGTGCTATATGATGTAATAAGCAAATTTCCGATTCAGCGATCTTCTAGCATCGCACGATGGTGTGGTTCGATCTTCAAGCTGGGGCCAGCCCTTTACCACAGATGTTGGTGGTAGTAGTGGCGGCTCCTAATTGAAAGCCTGATGGAAGAGCTCCGTCTTGCAGGCCCTGTGGAACTGTAGAAGACAAAATTATGCATTTTGTCACCTTGCTCTGGCAGCAAATACGTGCAGACCTTCCCATTGGTTCTCTAGCTTTAAACTAGCTAAGATATCAGCATGCATAAACAAACAGTAAATTTTTTCAAGACTATAGAAGAGAACTTGCAAATCCCGACAGATTTGTGAAATCTAACCTGATATGTTTACAATAGTTCCTTGGGGAACCCAACAAATGAATCTTAGGTTGATTCATGGCCATCCAGCCCCCAGGAAGGAGTAGCACCTTGCTCAGAAATTGGATTCTGTCTCCTAGGGAGGGCTCAGTGGTGGAGCATCTATTTGGTACGCAGCAGGTCCCAGGTTCAATCCCTGGCACCTCCACTTAAAAGGATCAGGTAGGCAGTGATATGAAAGACCTCTACCTGAGACCCCAGATGGACCAACAGTATAAGGCATCAGTATAAGGCAGCTTTAGAGAAACCAGGCTGGCTGTGACGAGGGCCAGGGCCTTCTCAGTGGCAGCTCCGTACTGGTGGAATGAGCTCCCGGATGACATTGGGGCCCTGTGGGACCTATTACAGTTCTGCAGGGCCTGCAAGATGAAGCTCTTCCACCAGACCTTTGAACTGAGGCCCTGGCCCCAATATTAACACCAATATTGCGCCTCGCAATCATGCCGGCCACATGACCACGGAAACGTCTTCAGACAGTGCTGGCTCTTCGGCTTGGAAATGGAGATGAGCACCGCAACCCTAGAGTCGGATTCGACTGGCTTTTGAGCAAGGGAGACCTTTACCTTTTTACATTTTATGTAAGCCTCCCTGAGCCTGCCCTGACAGGGAAGGCAGGATATAAAATAAATAAATAAATAAACGTGCATCCTTTTCAGTTTCAGGAGAGAGTCCGGGACCTGCAGAAGGAGCGAGACCTGCTGAAGGAAGATTATGACAAACTGCTGGAGAGGTAAGGAAAGTCTGGGAGACGCGAACGGCAAAGGGGGCCTCTAGGAATCCATTCCGTTTGTTCTCCCTCCAGGACCGCCATCTTGGTTTCTTCCTGCTAGCCACAATGAGCCACACAATTGGAAGACAGACCATGTTTTGTGCCCGGAAGAGAGGGCTGGAGGGGGGGGGGGGGGGGGGACGTGGTCTTGTGGGCACCTGAAGAATATATTTTAGGAGTTGTAAGGAAAATGCCTGCATGACCACGTTTCGTGTTGGTATGAAATGGTTCTTCTGGCTCTAGAAGTTACTCCTGCAGTGCTGCCCCTTCAGATAGGAGCTTAGGCGGTAGATCAAGCGACGGATCCGTTTCCTGCTCTGTTTCTTTAGCTGCATCAACGCTGCCCGGCGGCAAGGCCCTGACGAGGTGCCTCAGAAGGACAATGTTCCTGCTTTGGAAGAACAGCTTAGCTGGGTGATGATGGAGAAGAAGCAGCAGCAGGAACAGCTGGAAGAGGAAAGAGGTGAGGGGGGGGAGGGGCCAGGCCCACAGCCAGGACCTTGTGGCTCGTGGGGCACAATTTTTTTTTCTGGTGGGGCTGCCGTTATTTTTCTGTCTGTCTCTAAATAACTGAACTTTTAAAAAGAAATAATACTAAGAATACATTAAATGCAGCCCAGACACCCCCCACAACAGCCACCCCAGACGTAAATGAAATGCAAAAACACCCTCCACCCTTCCCCTGCCTAAAGCAATGACATCCCTTACCATTTCCAGAAGGAAATCTTGTGGGGCTGGCCCTTTAAGGAGGGGGGCGGAGCCCCTGATAGTCTCACTGCAGCTGTGGACCTGAGAGTGGCCTGTTGCAGGACTGGCCTGCAGAATCTCTGTGCAGGGCGAGAAGTGGACGTTGTGACAAGCAGGGCGTTTCTAGTGTCGGATCACGGCCTGGGTTTAAATCCCATCTCTGCCGCGAGGCTCCCGGTGTGATCATGGGGTAATCCCACACTTTCAACATTATCTACTTCACAGAATGGCAAGGAGAAAAGTAAAACAGAGAGCTGAGAGCTGTGTAGACCGAGGTCCCCAAACTCTTTAAGCCTGCAGGCACTTTTGAAATTCTGACAGGGGGGGGACACAGCCACAAAATGGCTGCACAAGGGGGTGGGGAGACAGCCATACAAGAAGAAGAGAGAAGAAGAAGAGATTGGATTTATACCCCGCCTTTCTCTACCCAAAGGTGTCTCAGAGCGGCTTACAAACTCCTTTCCCTCCCACTCCCCACAACAGACACCCTGTGAGGTAGGTGGGGCTGACAGAAGCTGCTCTTTTTCAAGGACAGCTCTTATCAGAACTACCGCTTGCCCAAGGTCATCAAGCCAGGTGCAAGTGGGGAAGCAAACCCGGTTCTCCCAGATTAGAGTCCACGCACTCAACCACGACACCAAACTGGCTCTACAATGGCTGCGGCCGCTTACTTTCAGTGAAGATCTCTGTGGTGTGGTCACAGCTGCGGCTGAAGCAACGTTTAGAAAATAATACACACCGCCGATCAAATCTCCGAGGGGCAATAAGAAGCTGTGCTGAGAAACATCTTGCCTGGCCCTGCCCACTTTCTAAAACATGTGCCAAGTGCCAGGAAATTTGTTGGTGGGCACCGTGGCACCCAGAGTGCCATGTTGGGGACCTCTGGCCACTGGTGGCCTGGCCTGTAGCCATGGTGGGGGCATTTGGGGACAGAGCCCCCCCACCCACGAACCCTGCCCCCCCACCTGTGGATGCTAGACACCCCCTAGCCCAACCGCATCCAGGAGGCTGGGGAAGGAAAGGAAAGCCCCCCCTGCAGCTTCTGGTCAGTTTCACTCCTTGATGAAGAGCTGTTTGGTCTGACAGCAGATCGGAGGGGAGTGAAATACAATTCAGGTTTGAAGAGCTGCAATTCATGTTTATTTTATTTATTTATTTCTCACATTTTTATCCCGCCCTCCCCGCAAGCGGGCTCAGGGCGGCTCACAACCAGGGCATCAAGTGCCAGTATAAAACATTAAAAATCAAAATAAAACAATCAGATTAACATTAATAAAGTGCTCGATGGTATTATCGCTTCAGTTAAATCAAGATGAAGGCTTGAGAATATTAAAGGTTCCCTTGCTCGAAAGCCAGTCGAATCCGACTCTAGGGTTGCGGTGCTCATCTCTGTTTCCAAGCTGAAGAGCCAGCGCTGTCCGAAGACATTTCCGTGGTCATGTGGCTGGCATGACTAAACACCAAGGCGCATGGAACGCTGTTCCCTTCCCACCGAAGTGGTACCTATTTATCTACTTGCAATTTCTTGCTTTCGAACTGCTAGGTTGGCAGGAGCTGGAACTAGAGATGGGAGCTCACTCCATCATGCGGCAACTCGGGTCTCGAACTGCTGAACTACTGACCTTCCACAGCCTGCAGTTCAGCGTCTTAACCACTTGAGCCACTGCAGCTCCTTTGAGAATATTAGCCCAAGGGATATTAACCCAGAGTTCATTTTGGCGGTGCTGATCCATCACGGAACTGTAAAGGTTTTATATTGGGCCGTCCCTCGCGGTCGATGGTGGAGGTGGTAGTGGCGGCTCCTAATTAAAAGCCTGGCGGAAGAGCTCCGTCTTGCAGGCCCTGCGGAACTGTGAAAGGTCCCGCAGGGCCCTGATCTCCTCCGGGAGCTCATTCCACCAGGTTGGAGCCGCCACCGAAAAGGTCCTGGCCCTGGTTGCCACAAGCCTGGCCCACAAGAAAAAAAAAATGCCCACAAGGAAAAAAGATCCTGGCTATGGGCCTGCCGGTGGCCCTTTGGAGTAATGGCCCACCAGGAAATTTCCCTGCAAGTTAAATGGCCAGTCCGCTTCTGGGGCTGAAGGCAGAAACATCCAGAGCACCACAGTCTGGTGGTCCCTAATGGTGGCTACCATTCCAGCTCTCTGCTTTGCTGTTTTCCATGAAACATTGTTCAGCGCTGAGACTGAGGTTAAAAGCATTGCTTCGGCTGAGGGAAGGGAGTCATTAGGCCGGCCGAAAACATACCGAATGGGAAGTTCTTGTGATTCAGCCCAACTCTCTGTCTCCTCCTACAAGCTCGGAATGAGGAACTGAAGCAGGAAGTGAGACAGCTGCTGGAGCTGGCGCAGGAGGCCAAGGAGGCCAAGGAAGTCGATTCCTCACACGAGAAGGCGGCCATCTTGGAAAACCAAAGCGCGGAGCCAGAGCCTCAGTCTAATCCTGTCCAGGTGGGACCTGGAAGAAACCAGGTTTAGTACTGGGAGTGTGTACTTGAGGGAAGTGAATGAACCTCATGTGGTGGGGGGGCATGTAAAGTGTGGATAAGGGCCTTGTATTCAACAAGAGAATTTGGGAGCTGGGAAGGCTGGAGACATAGGGTTGCCATCTCTGGGTTGGGAAATTCCTGGAGACGGGTCGTTTCCTGCAGGAGCGCACAGGAGCGGAGCTCCAGCAGTAAAGAGCCCAGGGGGCGGGCACATGCAACAAGCCCCACCCCTTGCTCCCAGCAGCCCTCAGTCAGAGCAAGAAGCAGCCAGGTAAACTGCAGAGCCCCCGGTCCCCCAGTCCAAAACAGTCCAGTGGCACCTTTAAGACCAAGTTTTATTCAGGTACAAGCTCTCCCTCCTCTGCAAGGACAGATCTGCACGTCCCCCTCCCCCAATAGCTACCAATCGAAAACAGTCCAGTGTCGCCTGAGCGGTGGGTGTTGCTTTCTGACACACTTCTGGTGATGTCAGGGGGTGTGGCATATGCAAAGAAGTTATGCTAATGAGCGCCTGCACCTCTTTTTCTACGAAATGACCCCTGCCTGGAGATTTGGGGCCGGAGTCTAGGGAGTGCAGAATTTGGGCAGGAGCAGGATCTCGGGGGTATAATGTCACAGAGTCCATCATCCAAAGCAGTCATTTCTCTAGGGGAAAGGTTCTCTGTCGTCTAGAGATCAGTTGGAATTCTGGGACAACTCCAGCCCCCATCTGGGGATTGGCAACCCCAGGGAAAGGAGACACTTGCCATCTCCGGACAGCAGGTGATGGGAAAGACCTTTCTCTGCCTGAGACCCAAGAGACTCTCTTCTAGGTACAATACTGAGCTAGATGGACTGTTGGGCCGATCTCTTATCCGGCCGTTACGTATAGTGATGTGTAAACATTAGAAGATAAGTGAAATGACAGTGTTTAAAGCTATGGAGGGAGAAAAACCTCAAGAAGAAGGTAGATAGAGTAATAATCTTTCCAAGCCCATAGTAAAAGAAATATCAATGTTTAGATGATTGTGACTGGCCAGAACAATGGGTTTGGACTGCCTGTAATAATCAAAGAAAAAGTGTTTAATGCAATGATTTCCTTCCAATTTATGAAACCTGTAACTGTTTCTTGTGCTTGGAAAATAACAATAAAAAGAAAATAGAAGAAGAAGAAGAAGAAGAAAATAGAAGAAGAAGAAAGAAGGAAGAAGAAGAAGACGACGACGACGACTGGGGATGGGGGGGGATGGGGGGGGAGACAGCAGTTTGCAGCAGGAGAGATTCTGTGCTGTTGTCCGGCGGGCAGAGAGCAGTTTTCTGGTCTGAATTAAATTGGAGCTCTTGCAAGTGTACCTTGCTGGCTTTAAGAGCCACTAGTATCATTTAGGAAATATCAGTGGGGAAAAATAGTGGCATTTTCAACAATCCTAGTTAAAGTGGCCTGGATGAATTAAAGCAGGCAACAGCAGACTGAAGCAATAGATCAACAACTCTTCGTTCATAACAGGAACCTATTGTCCAAAGGGATGCGTTTGCTAGGGCTCTCTTTGCTGACACATTTTTGTCCTGTTCTCCCCTCCCCGCCTTGGTTTTCCCCTCGCAGCTCCCGTACATGGAGTTTCTGTCGAAAGAGACAAATCCAGATGAGGTCCAGCGCAGCCTAAAGCGCAAGCTCCATGAGACGGAGGCTGCCCACGCGGAGACTGTACTCGAGTTAGAGAAGACCCGTGACATGCTCATCTTGCAACACCGCATAAACCGGGACTACCAGGTAAAACAAGGAGAGTGAGCTATTTGGCAAGTAGTTGGGAGTGGACAGAGGGTTCGGGAGGACTCGATTTGTGTACAAGCAAGATACTAATTGAACAGCAGAGGAACTGACTGATCACCTTCTTGTCAGACAAACACATTTCTCTCCAGAATTCAACTCAGTAAAAACCAGTTCTGTGAGTTTGCGGCTGAAGCTGATTCTGCACAGGACTGATTGGCTAGTACCCTTCCCATCATCAAGAAACCTACACTTGCCCCTCCTCCACAGCAGTTTAGCAAACTGCTTGGAACAAATTGTGTTGTTTCTTTAAAGGCAATGAATGAACATTTAATTCTATGAATGCTCGTACAGGACTTTGGGGAAAAAATTAAAGGAAGAAGTAAGGAAGGAGAAGGAATGGTTAGTGGATCAGTATGGGGATATATACATCTGAAGGCAGGAGAAAGCTTAGCTCACCCTGGACTCAGCTTTGTTGTTGCTCTTAGGTTATATTTATTCTAAGGTTATATTCTAAGGAGCTGCGGTGGCTCAAGTGGTTAAGACGCTGAACTGCAGGCTGTGGAAGGTCAGTAGTTCAGCGGTTCAAGACCCGGGTGCCGCAAGACAGGGTGAGCTCCTGTCTCTAGTTCCAGCTCCTGCCAACCTAGCAGTTCGAAAGCGAGAAATTGCAAGTAGATAAATAGGTACCACTTCAGTGGGAAGGTAACAGCGTTCCGTGCGCCTTGGTATTTTGTCATGCCGGCCACATGACCACGGAAATGTCTTCGGACAGCGCTGGCTCTTCGGCTTTGAAACGGAGATGAGCACCGCAACCCTAGAGTCGGATTCGACTGGCTTTCGAGCAAGGGAACCTTTACCTTTACCCATATGTATTCTAAGAAGCATTTCGAAGGGATCAGCTGGGGAAGGAGGTGGATAAGTGAGACTTTTAGGATCGGTGCTGGGGAAGTAAGTTTTGGCAGAATCAGGAAGTAAGTACGGGTCCCAAGGCAGGCCAAATGTGAGCTGGGGAAGGAACTCGGGACAAACTCAAGGGTAACGGTCTGCAGGAGGTACCACAAACAAATCTGAAAACGGTCGGGTGCAGTGAGTCTAGGGTCGCCACCTTATTTTCCCTGGCAGTTATCCTGTGCCTTGGACAGCTGAATGACAGGCAAAAACTCAGCCAATGACCATTTCCTTTCCCTGTCTCATCTGGTCTGCTCCGTGCTAAGGAAGATATGGTGTGCCAGGTTTCTGCATATCATGTAGCTCAGTGGGCTCCAGGTCCCTCCTGGCCACCAGCTGGGGATGGTGGGGTAGGGTTGCCAGATCCAGGTTGGGAAACTCCTGGAGATTTGGGGGTAGAACCTGGAGAGGGCAAGGAGCTTGAGTAGGGTACAATCGGGTCATTTCGTAGAAAAAGAGGTGCAGGAGCTCATTAGCATAACTCATTAGCATAACTTATTTGCATAGGCCACACCCCCCGACATCACCGGACGTGTGTCAGAAGGCAACACCCACCGCTCAGGCTCCACTGGACTGTTTTGGATTGCTAGCTATGGGGGGGGGGGGAACGTGCAGATCTGTCCTCACAGAGGAGGGAGAGCTTGTACCTGAATAAAACTTGGTCTTAAAGGTGCCACTGGACTGTTTTGGACCGGGGGGCCGGGGGGAGCTCTGCAACTTACCTAGCTGCTTCTTGCTCTGACTGAGGGCTGCTGGGAGCAGGGGGTGGGGCTTGTTGCATGTGCCCGCCCCCTGGGCTCTTTGCTGCCGGAGCTCGGCTCCTGTGCGCTTCTGCAGGAAATGACCCCTGGGTGCAATGCCAGTGAGTCCACCCTCCAAAGCTGCCAGTTCCTCTGGTGGAACTGATCCCTGCAGTCTGGAGATGAGCTGTCGTTCCAGGTGATCCACAGGTCCCACCTTGAGGCTGTGGAAACCCGAGCTGCAGTGTTAGAAGAGTCAATCGACAGATATATACACTGCAAAAACCTTTTTTTTAATAAGTTAAAGTGTTCTATATGTTCCGTCTTATAAAGTGCATTGTGTATGATTCATAATGTTCTGAAACGGGTATATATTCATTACATGCACTACCAGCAATAATAATCAGTTTGTACGGGGCTTTTTTTGTAGAAAAAGCCCAGCAGGAACTCATTAGCATAATAGGCCACACCCAACAGCAGAAACTCATTAGCATATTAGGCTACACCCCCGATGGCACAGCACATTAGCATATTAGGCCACACCCATGCCTCCCCTTGGTTTGCCTGGGTGCCCCGCAATTGCGGGGAGCCCGGGCAAACCGGTCCTTGGACAGGCCAGGAGAGGCACACCCGATCCTTCCAGGGCCCCCCTTGGCCTGCCCACCTCGGAGTTACCGGGGGGGGGGGTGTGTCGCTCTCCAGGCCTTCCCTCTGTAGCCACGCACGCAGAGGTTTTGGCTGTAGTGGGCGTGGCCAACTCTGAAGCCAGCCGGAACTCCATTCCTGTGTGTTCCTGCCCAAAAATAGCCCTGAGTTTGTACAATCCAATAGCTACCAGTCTATTTACATCCTTTTTACACAATCAACCCCAACGGGAGTTTCTAGAATCGTACACCTGCTTCTCCTTGCTTGAAAGTCTTCTAAAGGGGGAAGTTTCCTTTTGTGGTTTCATTGAAGTTAAAATTGATGTTTGTTGTTGGTCCTACAAAAGGCCCATTAAGCAGCTGACATTCATAGACGGAGCGCACCTTTGGGATTCTGACACAGGGTAGTGGGCCAACCTCCAAATGGCTGCCCCTGGAGGCAGAGCTGCCCCAGGTTATGCAAAAATCGAATAGGAACTCTTCAGCATTTCAGGAAGAATCTCTCACGTACAGGATGCTTTTTGAAATCAATATACTATTTAAGAATAATTTCTTCCATACACATGGCTTATTCTCAGTCACACAGTGAAGATTATTCTGATATGGTGGCAGCAGCTGCTGAAGCAGTTTGTAAAAAAATCCGCACAGCCAATCAGATCTCCAGTGGCCAATCAGAAACCCTGCTGGGCTAAAAACACCTGGCAGGCCCTAAGGAAGGTGTTGGCAGGTGTTGGAAGTGAAGGACTTTGTACTGTCTCTTAGCCTTAGGCTTCAGAGGGGGACTATAGAGAGTCAGACAGATAGATAGGCCAGGAAACTGAACACGCTTACACTCAGGGAATCTTCCTTCCTTCCGGCCTGACACCTTCTGTCCACACTATGTTATACTTCTCCATCTTGGCACCATGAAGGCAGGGCATGCCTCCTGCATCTCTATCCATCCTAGTTAGTTAGACTAGATTAGAACCCTATCTCTACTCTATCCTGCCTAGAATGGAGCTCCTTACAATAAAGGACTCATATTAGTTTTGCAAGGATAAAAAGGGCTCCATTTGTTTCTTGTCAGCACACACAAACCGAATAGACTCTGTTGCATTATGTGCCTTGAGCACTTTGCTAACCAGGCACCATGGGGCCAATGGTCACCATGTTGGGGACCCTGGTATAGCTGGTAAACACACACAAGGATGGCAGCCCAAGGCTGGCTCAGGGAGGCCCAGTTTGCCGAGAATCCAGAACTGTTGGTCGGCAGACACTTCCTGCTTCTTTTTGTGGGGGTTGCTGGGAGGCTGGAGCCCAAACGGGTCAAGGCACTTCATCTCAGCTGTGCCTTGTTCTCAAAGTGGAACGTAGGGCTGGGGGGGCGGGAAGGGAGTTCTGACATCGGCCCCAGTTGTGCGAGAGCCTGACTTTACCCCGCTGTTTCCAAGGTGGAGCTGGATGGGGTGGTGCTGCGGGCCGAGCAGGAGAAGAAGGACCACGAGGAGAAGGAGCAGCGCATGGCCCGGCTGCTGGACCTGCGTAGCGCTCGCATCCACCAACTGGAAGGTACGTCCCTTTGGGATTGAACTGGAAGTGTGTTTCCATTACTTATTTACTTCCTCCCCAGTGAGGACCCAAATCAGCTTATCTCATCCCCCCATTTTATCCTCAGAATAACCCTGTGAGGTAGGTTATGCTGAGATTTTGTAACTGGCCCAAGGTCACCCGGAAATTTCCATGGCAGAGCGGCAAAGCTCCCAGAACCTGGTCCGAGGCGCTAACCACTACACCACCCAACCGCTCTCTACACCACACTTTGGGGTGTCTCTTCTCTCCCAAGTTCTTTTATGAAATCACTTAATAGTTTTATATGCACTGCGTGTTTAGATTTTCATTTGATCCTATCGTGCGTAAGCTGTTTTGGGGAAGGAAGCTGGCATGGGATAGCCCAATCTCACCAGATCTCAGAAGCTAATCTGGGTTGGTAATAATGAATAATAATTATAGTATGGCATTGTGTGTAGCACAGGCAGGAGATCCTAAGATTGTCTGGCAGTCAGGAGTGCTAGCTCTTTTGGCGTTATGCACCACTCGGTGGCGAGCTAGACTTGTTTTTGAAGGCAAGAGACGTTTCAGGGGCGGTTTGCCATTTCCTGCAGTATGTATATAACCGGGAGATCACTAAAAGGAAGAAAACACACATTCAATTATAAATGTAGCTTAAAGAATCATAATAAACCATTACACACAAAACTGTCACTTACATTACTATTTATCAGCAGTTCGGCGCCCCATCCAGGGCCTGGCGCTCTAGGCTAATGCCTAGTTCGCCTAGTGGGTGAGCCGGCCCTGCGGGAGATCCAAAGATTGTCTGGCAGCCAGAAGTTCTAGCTCTTTTAGCATTGTGTACCACTAGGTGGCGAGCTAGACTTGGTTTTTTTTAAGGCAAGAGAGGTTTCAGAAGCTTTTTGCCATTGCCTGCCTCTGCATCATGGCCCTGGTATTCCTTGGAGGTCTCCCATCCAAATACTAGCCAAAGCTGCCCCTGCTTAGCTTCTGAGGTCTGACGAGATCGAGCTAGCCTGGGCTATCCAGGTCAAGATCAGCTGGGTCAATACTCAGATGGAAGACCACCAAGGAAGGCTCTGCAGAGGAAGGCAGTGGCACATACTCGTCACTTGCCTCGAAAGCCCCTTGGTGGGTTTGCCATAAGAAAGCTGGGACTTGGTGGGGCTTCCATATAGGGTTGCCTGGTCCTTCCTGGCCACCAGTGGGGGGCTAGGGTTGCCAGATCCAGGTTGGGGAACTCCTGGAGATTCCTGGATGGACCCTAGGGAGGACAGGGTCCTCAGGGGGGTACAGTGCCATAGAGCCCACCTTCCAAAGCATCCCTTTTCTCCAGGGCAGGGCCCTTCTTATAGCAGGAACTCCTTTGCATATTAGGCGACACACCCTTAATGTAGCCAGGGGTCATTTCCTGCAGGAGCGCACAGGAGCGGAGCTCCGGCAGTAAAGAGCCCAGGGGGCGGGCACATGCAACAAGCCCCGCCCCCTGCTCCCAGCAGCCCTCAGTCAGAGCAAGAAGCAGCCAGGTAAGTTGTAGAGCTCTCCCCCCCGGCCCCCCAGACCAAAACAGTCCAGTGGCACCTTTAAGGCCAAGTTTTATTCAGGTACAAGCTCTCCCTCCTCTGCGAGGACAGATCTGCACGTTCCCCCCCCCCCAATAGCTAGCAATCCAAAACAGTCCAGTAGAGTCTGAGCAGTGGGTGTTGCCTTCTGACACACTTCCGGTGATGTCAGGGGGTGTGGCATATGTAAATAAGTTATGCTAATGAGTTATGCTAATGAGCTCCTACACCTCTTTTTCAACGAAATGACCCCTGAATGTAGCCAATCCTCCAAAAGCTTACAGTAGCCCCTGGAAGAAGAAGAAGAGGAAGAGGAGGAGGAGGAGATTGGATTTATATCCCGCCCTTCACTACCCAAAGGTGTCTCAGAGCGGCTTACAAACTCCTTTCCCTTCCCCTCCCCACAACAGACACCCTGTGAGGTAGGTGGGGCTGAGAGAGCTCTGACAAGAACTGCTCTTTTTCAAGAGCAGCTCTTATCAGAGCTACAGCTCGCCCAAGGTCATCCAGCAGGTGCAAGTGGAGGAGTGGGGAATCAAACCTGGTTCTCCCAGATTAGAGTCCGCGTACTCAACCACGACACCAAACTGGCTCTTGGAGGATTGGCTACATGAGGGGTGTGTCGCCTAATGTGCAAAGGAGTTCCTGTTACAAAAAGAGGCCTGCTCCAGGGGAACCGATCTCTGTAGTCTGGAAACGAGCTGTAATTCCTGGGAGTCCCCCGGTCCCACCTGGAGGCTGGCATCCCTACGGTGCTGTCCTCAGAGCATTTGCGTTAGAAGGTGGCATAGAACTGTGGCAGACAAATGCACCGGCGTCCACGTGGGTCGGTCTCAGCGTGGGGCTCAGAAGAACAGGCCTTCACGGCTCTTCCCATCTCCCCCCCCCCCCAGCACAGTTGAAGGATGTGGCCTACGGGACCAGGATGGTCCCCTTTCTACCCGACGAGGGCGACGCGGCCACGGAAGCCGACCCTGACGGGATGAGCCCACGTCTGCAGCGTGGCGAGAACCTCCTGGAGCTCCACATCTCTGGCGCGGTGCTGTCCGCTGAGCTGCTCCGCTTGCTGGGGGACGCGGAGCCCACCACCTTTTGCACGTACGCCTTCTACGACTTCGAGACCCACTCCACGCCCCTGGTGCGCGGCTCCCGGCCCCGGTACGGCTTCACCTCCCAGTACGTGGTGCGGGCGGAGCCTTTGTTCCTGCAGTACTTGCAAGGGGCAGCCGCCCGCCTGGACCTCCACCTTGCCACTGCTGTGGACCACACCACCCTGGCCTCCTGCTGGCTGCGTTTTGGAGAAGCCCTGGGGAAAGGGGAGCAGGTACATGCCACGGCAGCGCTACACGGTAAGAATCACTCCAGCCCGGAGGGTTGCCAACTCTGGGTTGGGGAATTCCTGAAGGTTTTGGGGTGGAGGGCTTGTGGAGGGGAGGGACCTCGGAGGAGCAAAGGGCCATAGAGTCCACCCCTCCTCCAAAGGAGCCGTTTCCTCCAAGGGAACTGATCTCTGTTCAAGTCCAAGTTCGCCTTTCTTGGCATCAATTGATGATACAGATTATACAATTTAAGAGCAGATTGAAAACACACCTAAGAAAATACTATGTCTCTAGAGCAGTGATGGCGAACCTTTTAGAGACCGAGTGCCCAAACTGCGACCCAAAACCCACTTATTTATCGCAAAGTGCCAACACGGCAATTTAACCTGAATCCTGAGGTTTTACTTTAGAAAAAACAACTCTTATATTAACTTAAGACGATCCAGACAAAGTAAGGAAAGCAATCCCAAATGCTTTCATTGACTTAAAATGATTTGGCAGAGAATTCGACACTTTAATGACGGTCTGGGCCTGGCTGGGGCGATGGCACGCATGCCCACAGAGAGGGCTTTGAGTGCCACCTCTGGCACCTGTGCCATAGGTTCGCCACCACTGCTCTAGAGTGTACAATTTAGGAGCAGATTAAAACACACCTATGAAAATACTATGTCTCTTGGGGTCCTTTGGCGCAGCTTGAAAGCAGAGCAGAGAAACTTGGCCATCTCTGTTGTTTGGAGATCAGTCGTAATTCTGGGAAACCTCCAGGCCGCACCTGGAGATTGGCAACTATTAATCATCAAGCTTTTAAAGCCATTTGTGTACGTTCTCTAGGGCTGCCAGCTCCAGGTTGGGAAATACCTGGAGATTTTGGGGGTGGAGTCTGAGGAGGGTGGGGTTTGGGGAGGGGAGGCACTTCAGTGGAGCATAATGCCATAGAGACCACCCTCGTATTCTGTCTCTGGGCCTTACAAAAGCAAGATAAGGTAGGGCCAAATTAGTATGATCTCTGTATTTCTGATGAAGACATGAGGGTTTATAAGCCGATGTTGCCCAGACAGGGTAGACATGACAGAGCCTTTTATGTGTGTGCTCCGTTCACTTATAAAGCAGCAGACCTTTGTGTGTCTAACATTTATGCAGGGGGTCGTATCGTAGAAAAAGAGGTGCAGGAGCTCATTAGTATAACTCATTAGCATAACTTATTTGCATATGCCACACACCGCGACATCACCAGAAGTGTGTCAGACGGCAACACCCACCACTCAGACTCCACTGGACTGTTTGGATTGCTAGCTATTGGGGGGGGGGGAACGCGCAGATCTGCCCTCACAGAGGAGGGAGAGCTTGTACCTGAAGGTGGGCTGGGGAGGGGGGCTCTGCAACTTACCTGGGTGCTTCTTGCTCCTCCTGGCCCAACTGAGGGCTGCTGGGAGCAGGGGACGGGGCTTGTTGTATGTGCCCGCCCCCTGGGCTCCTTACTGCCGGAGCTCTGCTCCTGTGCGCTCCCGCAGGAAACGACCCCTGCATTTATGAGAAAAGTGCATACAAGTAAAAGGAAAAGTTCCCAAAACAGCATTAGGATGTTGGGGGTGGGAAGAGATTCCAACTTCTCTCACCTGTACGTCCCTTTTGTCATGAATAAGGTCATGTGATTTTTTTTATTATGTATGTTTTAATTTGTTGGCCGCCTGGGCAGGAAGGGAGGATATAAATTTTGTAAATAATTAATAAACGTCGTAAAACAACAACAATAACAATAAGCCCTCCCCCCTCTTTCTATGTGAACAGAGCAGAACTGGAAATAAACAAAGATGGCTTCCCCAACCAGGGTCGGCCTCCAAACCCAAAACTGACCTGGAAACCGTTTCTCATCATCAGGTGGTGCTGGGGGAAGCCAATCAGATGCTTCAGGGAGGAACCTGGGAAGGAGAAGACCTCTTTCCTCATCAGGGTGCCAGACTGGAAGGCTCACCCTTTGAGTCTCAACAAATCAGAAAAGATCTAAGCTAGCACGGAGGCATGGGCTGTTGCTTTGATCCAGCAAGCTCAGTTGATGGGTGGCTTAGCTCAGCTGATGAGTCAGAGGAACAGTGGAAGGGATGTCAATAGGCTGGCGTAGAGATGTAAAATTTCCGGAAATTTTGAAGCTCGGAAAAAAACCCGGTTTTTCCCCGGAAAAAAACGGAAATTTTCGGAAAAATTGAAAAAAAATGCTACATTAGCATTTCTTTTGTCTTTTCTAGATTGAAAGTCATTCTGTTACTTTAGGAACATAAAATATGACTATGGACATTTTTACTTGGCATGAAATTATCACAACTAGCATATTAAAAATATAGTGTATCCAAACAATTATTACAAACAGAATACCCACCCACATGCAAAAACAAAACTGAAACTTTTTTATTTTCTTCTGACAATTGCACCTCCTAAAGGAAGAAATGCATCTTGTTCTTGCATTGGAGAGTTCAGTTTGTAACCTAGGACTTGCTTGTCCTCAGTGCACAGAAATTAGATCAATCTGATACCATATATATATATTTTAGAAATGATTTGGAAAATATTTGAACACCTTGTCTTAAAATATTTTATTCATCATCCATAATCAATTTTTTTCTTTTCTTTTTTCAATTTTTTCAATTTTTCGGAAAAAAAACAAAAAAGGCTTCAGGAAAAAAACGGGAAAAACCGTTTCCCCCCCGAATTTTTCCGGGTTTTTTCCAGGCCTTCACATCTCTAGGCTGGCGTGATTTCTGCTCCAAAGCCGCCTTCGGCACAGACTGTGCTCAAGAGTACCCTCTTGTGGCTCATTGCAGAGCTATCCACAAACCTGACCTTTCCTCGCCTCCTTTGTGTCTCTTGGTTCCATGCTGGCATTCCTACCTCCACTTCCTTAACATCCCTGCCTGCCCAATCCCCACCACGCCTTTGCCCACGTCCCTGTAGGTCCCAACGGTGAGGACTACGGCCTTCTGGAGTACTGGGTGAGGCTTCGCTTTCCAATCGAACAAATCCTGAGACTGCATCGCCAGCAGGCCAAAGCCTTGGGCTACCTGTCTGCGGGAGTGCCACGGGCTCCTGTCGCCCAAGAGGGGGTGAGGAAAGGGGAGCTGGGGCCCAAGCGGGGACTTATTTGCGCCTGTAGTGCTCTTCTTCTTCTTACGGGGTTATTGTGAAACAAACCCAGACTCGACAGGTTGAAATTAAATCAGAAGACTTTCGAGCTAAACATGAGGATGAACTTCCTGACAGAGCAGTTCCTCAGTGGAACAGGCTTCCTCGGGAGGTGGTGGGCTCTCCTTCTCTGGAGGTTTTTAAACAGAGGCTAGATGGCCATCCGACAGCACTGCTGCTTCTGTGAAATTAGGCAGATCGTGAGAGGGAGGGCAGGAAGGGTTGCCTCAGTGCTTAGTTCTCGTGGCCCTTTCTTACACCCCCAGGGAAATGCTGATCGCCACTTTGGGGTCAGGAAGCAATTTTTCTCCAGGCCGGTTTGGCTGGGGATCCTGGACGTTTTTTGACATCTTCTCGGCATGGAACAGGGGTCACTGGGGGTGTGGAGGGGGAGGTATTTGTGAATTTCCTGCATTGTGCAGGGGGTTGGACTAGATGACCCTGGAGGTCCCCTTCCAACTCTGTGATTCTATGATTCAATTGGGACAATTTACTTATTTTATTTATTTTATTTGATTTCTATCCTGCCCTCCCTTGGGTTACAGGCGCAGGGTGGTTGCAACGCTGAATAAAACATTCAATGAATTCAATTAATCATCCCTCAATCAATTAAAAATCCCTCAAGTGATAACCAACAGTCACAGCATTCCAAGATGAAAATTCGAATTTCAGCCTGCAGCACCCGAGCAGCCAGGCGAAGAGAGTGGGCAGTGGGGTATGAGAGACGAGACAATGGGAGATGGGCAGCCTCATCCGGTGATTCCTTGCAAGGATCGGGATTTCCCATTCACTTTGATGGAGGGGTCATGTCCTCCATTGAGATGAATGGGGGAGCTTGCTTGCCCGGGAGTGCCATGTCCGTGTTACCGTGCTGCTCTAGACTTGCACCTCACCCTGCCTCAAAGTGGGCAGCACAACCTCAATACAGGACCGGTTTTGGTGATTCCGTGGCCCTGGGCAAAAGTCCAGGAATGGGCCCCCAGAATGACTGCCCCCTCTGCCAGTCCCAAGCAAAATGTGCCCCATGAGGGCAGGAGCTTGCTGCCACTGGAAGCAGCTGCCCGAGCCCCAGATGGTTTTCGTTTCTCCCCTCCTTTGGGAGGTGGAGCTATGGGGTGTTGGGGCCCCTCCCCGCATGTGGCCCGGGGCAACCAACCCTATCACCAATGTTCCCTCTAAGCTGTGGAGTCTTGTGAGCAAAAATTCTACTTTGTGAGCCACTGGCATTAAAGTTGTGAGCGAGCGATTAGGCTGCTGCATAAATTAGTCTGCTCTGGAGCCATCCTTCCTGAGCTAAGACAAAAATGTGTGAGCCGGAGGCTAAAAATCTGTGAGCTAGCTCACACCAACTCAGCTTAGAGGGAACTATGCCTATCACCCATTGGCTAAGACTGCTTCTGCCTGGATATAAAACATTAAAGTAAAGGTAAAGGTTCCCTTGCTCAAAAGTCAATCGAGTCCGACTCTAGGGTTGCGGTGCTCATCTCCATTTCAAAGCCGAAGAGCCAGCGCTGTCCGAAGACGTTTCCGTGGTCATGTGGCCGGCATGACTAAACACCAAGGCGCATGAAACGCTGTTACCTTCCCACCGAAGTGGTACCTATTTATCTACTTGCAATTTCTTGCTTTCGAACTGCTAGGTTGGCAGGAGCTGGAGCTAGAGACGGGAGCTCACTCCGTCATGCGGCACACTCGGGTCTCGAACTGCTGAACTACCGACCTTCCACAGCCTGCAGTTCAGCGTCTTGACCACTTGAGCCACCGCAGCTCCTATAAAACATTACAAAACTGCAAAAGCTAAAAGTAATGAAGGGGAAACTTACCAACCTCCAGGTGGGACCTGGAGATCTGGAATTGCAACATCTCCAGACTGCAGTTTTGGCGTCCCCCTGAAATCACCAAGTCTGGATAGTGCTGTGCGATCCATTGCATTAAGGAATCTCAGTCAGGCGTCCCCAGACTCTTAAGATGCTTGGACCACAACAGCGTTTTCCTCCGCTGTGCTTAACCCCGGCGCCTCCCTTTCCCCCCCTCAGGTTCTGGGCCCAGGATGGAATGAGTTCCGAGTGCGGATCGAAAGCTGCGCTGGCCTGCGCAGCCGCTGGCTCGGCTCCCAGCCCAGCCCCTACGCCATGTACCGGTTCTTCACCTTCCCAGATCACGACACCGTCATCGTCCCTTCCAGCAACAACCCCCACTTTGGAGACCTGCGCACCTTCCCTCTCAGGGTCACGCCGGAGCTGCACCATTTCTTGCTCCGGGAGAGTTTCTGGGTGTACGTGTTTGACGACGAAGACACAGAACCGGGGAATTACTTGGGCAAAGCCCAGATCCCGCTTTTGCCACTAGCGCATGGACGTAGTGTCACAGGTAAGACGTGTAGACCTCCCCAGTCCCTAAACCTGTGTATACCAGGTTACCTGGGCCTTTGCATCCTCCATCTCATCTTTGGGCCTGCCTCCTGCCAAATGCCAGCTCTCTATTATCTGCTTGGCTATGCATGATGTACCACCCTTCCTTTAAGGAGAATAGTGCGGCATACATGGCTCCGCCTGCCTCGTTCTGTCTTCCCAACAAACCTGTGGAGTAGGTTAGGCTGATCAAAAGTGACTGGTCCGAGGTCACTGGGCAGCAACCTTCCAATTGCAGAGTGAGGATTCGAACTCAGATCCTAGTCCAGTGTCCTAACCATTATGCGACTTTGGCTCAGCAGCAGGCGTGCTTCTAGGCACATCAGTGTGGAAATGCTCTCCACATTTAAGGGGCAGAGCTTTTCATTGTTTTATTTATATATTGGATTCATAGCCCTCCCTCCCCTGTACAACAGGGCTCAGAGGAGGTAACAACAATTCACAAAACAATATCTAGGAAATTAGACTGTTAAAACCCATTCTTGCAATAACATCTATATATCTAAGAGCGAAGTCGCCCCCGTGCGTGCGGATATCTAAATCCGCGCATCGGGGGCACCTGGGGGGAGGGAAATTTTTGTGCACACTTGGGGCAGTCCCCAGGTGTGCACAAAAATCTGAAAACTTTAAAAACATACCGGGGGGATACTAAAATCCCCCCAAACCTAAAAGAGCGTTCCCTGCGCATGCGCAGGGAACGCTCTGCAAACTGCCTCGCGTAGATATGGAGCAGAGGTCCATCAGTGGCTATTAGCCACAAGGTATAGATAGGGACTCTCAGTTTGGGGCAAGGGATGCTCTGTCATCTTGATGCTTGGGGGGGGTCAACATTGGGAGGGCTTCTAGTGTCCTGGCCCCACTGGTGGACCTCCTGACGGCATCTGGTATTTTTGGCCACTGTGTGACAGAATATTGGACTGGATGGGCCTTTGGCCTGATTCAGCATTGGCTTCTCTTATGTTCTTACCTTCTCTTAACTAAGGTCCCGGTCACACGAAAGGCTTTGGGCCGGGAGAGGGACGGATCGGGGGCGCAGCAAACGGGCGCGATCCCACCGCAACATCTGGGAAACGTTGCGCACCCATCCCCGATCCGGCCCTTCAGGCCGAAAAGCCGCATCTAAAATAAACCACCTACAGAGGTGGACTTACCAGCATGGCCGCATTAAGCGCGGCCGTGGGATCGCCGGCGCGTCCTTCTGCCGGCGCATCCAAGACCCCTGGCCGAACTGCGCACGCAGTTCGGCAGCCTCCGTCTCTGTCTCGTCGCTTTCTCCCCGGTCTCCCCGGCAGCTCCCCCCCCCCGTGTGGCAGGGACCTAAGATCACAGTCAAGAGTCCAGTCCAGAGACCAAATACCAGTTTAGCTGCAGAGAGAGTTCATGGGTTGTTCAGGAAAGCAGAGTCAATGTAGTTGATCAGCAAGGTTCAGGCAGGTCCGAAAAGCAGAGTCGAGGGTCAGTCCAAAAGTCACAGGTAGCAGGCAGAGTCCAGAGCTGTGGTCATAAAGTTCACAGGCTTGTGACATGTTGCTTCCACAAATCTGCGGTTCTCTGGGTCTGATTTATACAGGCATTCCTTAGCAAGCCTGATTTACAGCCATCTCCTTGGAGGTGCCCCTGCACTTATGCGGAACTGCTATCCTTAAGCAGCTGGCGCGAGCCAAGAGGTGAGGACTCTGCCCGCGTGTCCTTAAGTCTTGCCAGAGCTTTTCCCTTCGCCGTTCAATTAATGGGGGGGGGGGGGCCTGGTGGGCTACTATCCTGCAGCTGCGCTTCCTCGGCTACTTCAGAGCTAGGCGCGGGTGGTTCAAGGCCAGCTGCCGAATCTGGAGGCTCCCAAATCTCTAATTCACTGACTTCAGCTGGCTCAGAGTTGGCTGCATACGGCTCCTCCGCTGAGGAGTCTGCAGCCACGCTGGACTCAGGCTGGCCCACAGCAGACATTGTTGCTGCCCTCCGACACAAGCCTGATGGAACATCTCTGTTCTGCGGGCCCTGCAGAACGGCATCAAATCCCGCAGGGCCCAGATTTCGGCAGAGCGTTCCACCAGGTCGGAGCCAGGGCCAGGAGAGGGAGTCCCGAAGATATGCTTTGGCAGGGCTTTTTTTTGTAGAAAAAGACCAGCAGGAACTCATTAGCATAATCGGCCACACCCTGACACCACAGCCCATTAGCATATTAGGTCACAACTCCCTGTTGCCAGAAGTGCGGTCATCCAGCCACACCCACCTTTTTCTTCTTATCCTGTTTACCTTGTTTGTTGTCAAAACCCAGGGCTCTTTTTGTAGCAGGGACTCCTTTGCATGTTAGGCCACACACCCCTAATGTAGCCAATCCTAATGAGTTTCTGCTATTGGGTGTGGCCTATTATGCTAATGCGTTCCTGCTGGGTGTGGCCAACTCAGGAGCCAGCCGGAACTTCGTTCCTGTGCGTTCCTGCCCAAAAATAGCCCTGTTTGGCCACTGAGATTTGTTTTCAGAAGTGAAGTGACAGTCTCACACTAAAATGACAGGAAAATCCCACTGTTAGATACGGCAGGAGCTGGCTTTGTGATTTATAAGTGGCCGTTCACACAAGTGGTTAGGGCTGTGGTGGCTCAAGTGGTTAAGATGCTGAAATGCACACCGGAAGGTCAGTAGTTCAGCAGTTCAAGACCCGAGTGCTGCATGACGGAGCGGGCTCCCGTCTTGGTCCCAGGTCCTGCCAACCTAGCAGCTCGAAAGCAAGAAACTGTAAGTAGATAAATAGGTACAGCTTCGGTGGGAAGGTAACAGCGTTCCGTGTGCCTCAGCGTGTAGTCATGCCGGCCACATGACCACGGAAACGTCTTCGGACAGCACTGGCTCTTCGGCTTGGGAACGGAGATGAGCACCGTGTCCCTAGAGTCGGATTCGACTGGATTTCAAGCAAGGGAAACCTTTGCCTTTAGTATTAGCTACACCCCGGGTTAGTCCAGTCTCATCAGGTCTTGAAAACTACTCAGGATCACCCCTGGTTAGTATTTGGATGGGAGACCACCCAGGAAGCCCAGGCTTGCTACTCGGGGACAGGCAATGGCAAACCACCACTGTTCGCTTCTTGCCTTGAAAACTCTGTGGGGTCACCACAGAAGTCGGCATTTTCAGCCACCTCACCATAACCAACCCCTTCCGCCTCCTCTTTCTCCTCTTCCCCAGGAGACTTTGTGCTCACAGACCCAACGGGGAAGCCCAGCGGTTCCATCAGCCTCAACCTGGAGTGGAAGCTTCTTTACGTGCCCCCCGAGGATTCCCCGCGGCAGGCCTCCTTGGATCGGGAGGCCCATCGACGGTCTTTGGAGCTCCAGATTGAGAAGGAGCAAGCCACGCTGCAGAGCCCGGTGAGAGAGTCCAAGGGGTTTTGTGCCGTACTGGGCAAAGGCCTTTTCGGACAGAGAAAACTGGCGGAGTAGATGACGGCCAATCGAGCCTGTCCTAAAGCTGATCCTAAGGAGCTGCGGTGGCTCAAGTGGTCAAGACGCTGAACTGCAGGCTGTGGAAGGTCGGTAGTTCAGCAGTTTAAGACCCGGGTGCCGCATGACGGAGTGAGCTCCCGTCTCTAGTTCCAGCTCCTGCCGACCTAGCAGTTCGAAAGCAAGACATTGCAAGTAGATAAATAGGTACCATTTCGGTGGGAAGGGAACAGCGTTCCGTGCGCCTTGGTGTTTAGTCATGCCGGCCACATGACCACGGAAACGTCTTCGGACAGCGCTGGCTCTTCGGCTTGGAAATGGAGATGAGCACCGCAACCCTAGAGTCGGACTTGACTGGCTTTCGAGCAAGGGAACCTTTACCTTTAAAGCTGATCCTAGTGGGCTCGTCTTCTTAGCTCAGGTGCAATTTTGTGCTAGTAGATCGTCATCACACTGACCGGCCGGCCCAGGCTGGCCCGATCTCGTCAGATCTCAGAAGCGAAGCAGAGTGGATCCTGGTTAATACTTGGATGGGAGACCACCAAGGAAGTCCCCACGTCGCCATACAGGGGTGGGCAACGGCAAACCACCTCTGAACAGAGTTCCCTCTAAGCTGAGTTAGTGTGAGCTGGCTCACAGTTCTTTAGCCTCCGGCTCACACATTTTGGTCTTAGCTCAGGAAGGATGGGGCTCCAGAGCGAACTAATTTATGCAGCAGCCTAATTGCTTGCTCACAACTTTAATGCCGGCAGCTCACTAAGCAGAATTTTTGCTCACAAGACTCCACAGCTTAGAGGGAGCATTGCCTCTGAATGTCTTTTGCCTTGAAAACCTGACGGGGCTGCCATGAGCCCTCTCTGATGAAGGCACTTTCCACCACCAAATCGTCATTACCGTAGCAAGAGTCAACTGTGCCTGTGGCTCTTGGGATGGGTGTACTGTAGACCCTACGGTGGACACGCGGAATTGCAACTGATCTCCAGACGGCAGATCTCCGATTCCCCTGCAGAAAATGGCCACTTCAGGGGGGGGGAAACCCTATAGGATACCATATATTCTAGGTGAAATCCCTCCCCACATCCCCCACATAGGCCCAGGGGTCGTTTCGTAGAAAAAGAGCTAGGGGGACTCATTAGCATAACTCATTAGCATATGCCACACCCCCTGACATCACCGGACGTGTGTCATGAGGCCACACCCCCTGACATCACCGGAAGTGTGTCATAAGGCCACACCCACCACTCAGTCAGTTAGTTAGTTGTGGTGGACCTGCAAGGCCGGCGGGAGTGCGAGGAAGCCCCACTAAGGGCCCCCCGCCCCCAACGGTCCCGGCCACCACTGGCCTTGCGGCTCCACTGCTGAGCCCCATTAGGGGCCCGGCGGTGGACCTGCAAGGCCGGCGGGAGTGCGAGGAAGCCCCGCGAAGGCCCTCCCTGGCCCCAGGCAGGGGTGGGGAGAGGCGGGGAGGAAGCAACTTACCCTCCCTCTTCTCCTGCTTCCTCTGGGCTGAATGAGGGCCGGAAGCGGGGCGGCCGGAAGCGGGGCGGGGCTTCGTCGTGTGCCCCGCCCCCCGCATCTCACCCGGGGGAACGGCGATCCCCCGCGATTCCCCCAAATCGACCTCTTCCCCACCCCCTGACATCACCGGAAGTGTGTCAGAAGGCAACACCCACCGCTCGGGCTCCACTGGACTGTTTTGGATTGCTAGCTGGGGGGGGGAACGTGTAGATCTGTCCTCGCAGAGGAGGGAGAGCTTTTACCTGAATAAAACTTGGTCTTAAAGATGCCACTGGACTGTTTTGGGCCGGGGGGCCGGGGGAGGCTCTGCAACTTACCTGGTTGCTTCCTGCTCTTACTGAGGGCTGCTGGGAGCAGGGGGTGGGGCTTGTTGCATGCACCCGCCCCCTGCTCTTTACTGCCGGAGCTCCGCTCCCGTGCGCTCCTGCAGGAAATGACCCCCGCATAGGCCTCTCCCTCCGATCTCCAAGAATTTCCCAAACAGGAATTAGCCACTGTATCTCTACAGTATCCTTTCATGCTGAGGTCCCTCCCAGGGTAGAGTGAAGCGCAGTAATCACAAGAGACCTGGACTCTAATCGCCGCTCGGCCATGTCCCTCTTTCTCAAGCGATCCTGTTAGAAGGAATGGACTGTGCACTGCCTCATAGTAGTGGCACAGACAAGACGTCAGAGGGGGCAACACAGCTAACAAGACAGAGAGTTCAGGACTCTTTTCATGAGGGTGGCCAGTCAACTGGCACCCCTGTTTGTTGCCGGGGGAAACGAGGGAATGGATAGAGGGGCACGCCAGCGTTTCCCAGCAGGCCCGTCGCTACAGTGGGGCGTTTCGGGGCCCTGCCTCCCCCCTGATGAAAAGCTCCACCTCACAAATCGCCGTACCAGAAACCTTATTTTTGAGGATGTTTCCCAAGGGCTCATGGGAATGCTTTTGGAAGACTCGCCCTGACCTTGGTGGTATACAGAAGGACTGGGCTAGCAGGAAGGGGGATTGCTGGAGATGTATTGAAGGTGCCACTCTTGAGTGCCCTTCTGAGCTTTGTAAGCCAGTTTGGTGTGGTGGTGAAGTGCACGGACTCTAATCTGGGAGAACCGGGTTTGATTCCCCACTCCTCCACTTGCAGCTGCTGGATGACCTGGGGCAAGCCATAGTTCTGTCAGAGCTGTTTTTGAAAAGAGCAGTTTCTGGAAAGAGTTCTCTCAGCCCCACCCGCCTCACAGGGTGCCTGTTGTGGGGAGGGGGAGGGGAAGGAGTTTGTAAGCCGCTCTGAGACTCTGAGTGAAGGGCGGGGTATAAATCCAATCTTCTCCTCCTCCTCCTCCTCCTCACACTCTTCTTCGGAAGGGAACTCAAAAGGCATTTAACACGCGGGCTGCCCTGTCCCTCGAAAGGAAGGGCTAGGAAGGCCTCCCCTTTTAAAGACAGACATTCAGATTAATTTAATTAACTGTAATTTAACTGCCCCCTTGAAAATTTAAATGCCTCTGAACAAAAAAGTCCTGGCTATGAAAACTGGGAGTGGCACCACTAGGGTTACCAAGTACCTACCTACGAATCGGCGGGGGACACATGCTTCCCCGCCGGAACATTCTTGCGCGTAACACGGCCGCGTCGCACTATCCTGTCACCCAGACGTGACGTAAGCACGCTGGGCACGTAGCCGGGTGATGCTCCGGCATTGGGGCTGGAAACTCGATGGTACCATCGAGTTTTCAGCCCCATTGCCAGAGCGTCGCCCAGCTACATGCCCACGTCATGTCTGGGCGACAGGATAGTGCAGCGCCTGTGTTTTCCCCGCGGGAATGTTCCCGCCAAGAACTATACGTCCCCCGCCGATTTGTGGTAAGTACGTGGTAGCCCTAGGCACCACAGATGCGGGCAAGAGGTCAACTCACCTTGCCTTTTGGCAGGACAGGACCTCTGCCCTGGCACTGCATGAAGCGCCAAACTGATTTGCTTCTCTCATGCCCGTCCAGGCTCCAAGCCCCACTGCCCCCTTGAGGTCCCAGCACCAGAGGAAGAAGCCGCGTCTCAGCCTGCCGGAGCCTGACAGGCACCCTCAGAAGCGCGCAGAGTTGGAAAAGAGAACCAGGGGAGCGGCTCAAGCGAGTTCAGTATCAGAGCGCAGAAGACATGGTGGAAAGGAAGCCGTGGACAGTGCCATCCACAAGGTACGAGAGAAGGCACAGGCCTATTAGATGTCGTCAGGGCTTTTTTTGTAAAAAAAAGCCCAGCAGGAACTCATTAGCATATTAGGCCACACCCCCGACAGCACAGCTCATTACCATATTAGGCCACACCCCCATGTTACCAGAAGTGTGGTCATCCAGCCACACCCACCTTTTGCTCCTTATTCTGTTCACCTTGTTTGTTGTCAAAACCCAGGGCTTTTTTTGTAGCAGGAACTCCTTTGCATGTTAGGCCACACACCCCTAATGTAGCCAATCCTAATGAGTTCCTGCTGTTGGGTGTGGCCTATTATGCTAATGAGTTCCTTGGCCAGCTTGGGAGCCAGCCGGAACTCCGTTCCTGTGCGTTCCTGCCCAAAAATAGCCCTGGATGTCGTCAGTTGGGCAACTCACGTTTTAAGCATCTAATCGAGGGGTCCCCATGGGCATCCACCACTGCCTTTCCTGGCTCCCACTAAGTGTTTTTAGAAGGTGGGCGAGGCCAGGTAGGGCTTTTGCCCAGCAAGCCTGATTGGCCACCGTAGATCTGATTAGCTGTGCAGATTTCTTAAAAAAAAAATTCATCACAGCACAAGGATCTTCGCTGCGTGACTGAAATAAGCTGCAGCGGCCATTTTGTGACCGGCTGTGCCTCCTGCGTCAGCCATTTTGTGGTTGCCCCCACCATGCTGTGTTAGACTTCCAAAGCTGCCCACGGGCTCAAAAGGGTTGAGGATCCCTGTTCTAGTCCATCGCTTGAATTCAGAACAAACTTTTGCTCTATGAGAGCTAGAAACTTGCCAGAAAGGAAAAAAAAATTATCAACATGTCTCGGTATCCCTTGGGTGCCTCCATTTGGTATCACAAAATCCATTCCCTAGTCTAACAGAAGTGCGCACATTGTGGTAAAATTTCAGTGTCTCTGTGTTAAGATACTCCTGAACACTGGGAGCAGGGGAGACAGATTTGTGTAAGAACACAAGAGCCCGGCTGGATCTGACCAGTGGTCCATCTAGTCCATCATCCTGTCTCACACAGTGGCCATCCACTTCCTCTGGAGGTCCAGCAACAGGGCAGAGAGGCCGAGGCCTTCCCCTGATGCTGCCTCCTGGCACTGGTATTCAGAGGCTGACTGCCTCTGAACGTAGAGGTTCCTTTTATTCACCGTGGTTAGTAGCCACTGATAGACCTCTCCTCCATGAATCTGCCTCATCCCCTTTTAAAGTTCAACCAACGAGATGGTACATAGGGTTGCCAAGTACCTACCTACGAACCAGCGGGGGACACATGCTCCCCTGTCGGAAGATTCTTGCTTGTAACACAGGCGCCGCCCGGCTACGTGCCTATGTCACATCTGGGCGACGGAATAGTGCAGCGCCTGAGTTTTCCCTGCAGGAATGTTCCCGCAAAGAACTATATATCCCCTGCCGAATCAAGGTAAGTACTTGGGAGCCCTGGTTGAGTATGAAAACCACAAGAAAAAACAACTGTGTAACAAGCCACTTCAACCTTATCGTCTATAAACTACAAGTCTCTATTAATGCAATGAATTGTTGCAACAAATTCTAGTGGTACGGTACCTGCAGTAGAATCCAAACCAACTCTTATATTATACTTCATACATTCACAAATTAGTAATGCAATAAAGAATAATATGTACAGTTCATGCCATCTCCCATCAGGGAAAAAATGAATTCTACTAACACTTCCACCACTGATGTGGGTGTTGTTCCTGTGATTAACCATCTCTTTTATGCTATAAGCATCATAAAGTTCCTTAGGTTTTGCTCCAATTAATCCTGAAGGAATTAATTGTGTAGAAGCTGGGGAATAAATGCTGTCTTCCAAAAGCTGGGAAATGAGTAATATCTTCCCATAGGTTTGCTGGCTGTTATCCCTGTTTCCCCAAGATGCTTTATCAAGAAATAAATCTTGGCCCCGGCCACATGTGCCGGAAAACGCGGGGGTGGGGGGAGAGGCATGGCTATTTGCACCGTCGCATTCTGATCCGCCATTATGCGATCAGACACGATGGTGGCGCACCAGGGTTTCGTCCTTTGGTGCGCGTTGCAAAGAGGACGGCCGGGGGGAATAAGGGCTTGCCGGCACAATCACACCAAACAAGTCTGTCTGCAGCCCGTGGCAAACCATTTGCTAGTAAATCTTTGCAGGTACTTTTTAGCTGCGCATCTTCGGCGGCACGCCACGGGTTGGCCATGGTGCGCTATGCTTCCGAGATGTTGTGTTGTGATCGCGCCTCGAAAATCCACCCAGCATTCGTGCCTTTCGCGCGGCAAATTCTCTGTGTGACCGGAGCCCTTATTTTGCCAGTGCTGTATAGTCACAATGAAGTAAGAGGGTCGCCAGACCTCTGCAATGCTTCTTTATTTGATTTAGAAATGAACCTTTATTTATTTATTTATTTATTTACTTCCAATTTATACCCCACCAGACCTCTGCAATGCTTCTTAGAAATGAACCTTTATTTATTTATTTATTTATTTATTCCAATTTATACCCCGCCTTGCCGGTACAAACTGGGCAATGTTTCCCACCGGTTTCAAGAGTCTTTTAAAGCTGTTTATTCTTGTGGCCATCACTGCACCCTCTGGTAGCAAATTCCAGATCTTAAACATTCTCTGTGTAAAGAAGTATTTTCCATTTGTGTGGTGGTTAGTGTTTAACGAGGACTGGAGAAAGGGGGGTTAAAAATTCCCCACCCAGTCATGAAGCGGCTCAGTGGATTCCCTTGGGCCAGACAGGCTCTCTCTGTTACCCCAGCCTACCTTGCCGCATTGTCGGGAGGATAACATGGAGAATTACGCACACCACCCTGTGCTGCTTGGCAGAAGGCAGGAATAATGATACGATATATAGAAGAGACACTCTCCGTTCTTTAACATGCACGAGGCATACAGATTAGGCTTCTCCAGTTGCCTTTGCTTGTTTGGCAGACGCAATTTTGCTTCCATTCATTCTGGAGACGCCAAGGTCTGCAGTTCTCATATCCGCACCAAGTAAGCATTTATGTCCCAGCAGGTGGCACTGGACAAACTCAAAGAGGAGGAGGAAGAAGAAACGCCAGCTGTTGCAGAGGAGGGCTGGCCAGCAAGACGCCAGGATCCAGAAGCCGAATCGAGGGCACCCACAGAAGTGGCCGCACCGAAGGATGCTGGTAGGTGTCAAAGGGTCAGCGTGATACCCAGTGACCAGAGCAGGCAGTTTCTTCGTCAAAGGCAAGGGAAAGAAGAGTAGGGAGAGATAAGATGATATGCAGAACACAGGCAGTGAGCATCCGATCAAGCTGCTCAGGGTTGTTCTCTTAGAATTTCAGAGGTGTCAAACTCATTTGTTGCAAGGGCCGGATCAGACATAAATGTCACTCTGTTGGGCCAGGCCACAGGTGCCATACAATATAATGCCAGGTACCGGAGAGGTAAACTTTATAAAGGTCACAGACCAACCCAATTAACGATATTATTTTTACTCAGAATTCCTAGCAGTGAACGCAATTGATTTACTGGGTAGCCCACAAAAGCCCCAATAATTGTATTCAATCATACACAAGACTAGGTTTTTCCGAAGGGGTGCCGTAGAGGGGGGAGCAATGTTCCCTCTAAGCTGTGGAGCCTTGTGAGCAAAAATTCTACTTTGTGAGCTCCTGGCATTAAAGCCGTGAGCGAGAGATTTGGCTACTGCGTAAATTAGTCTGCTCTGGAGCCATCCCTCCTGAGCTAAGACAAAAATGTGTGAGCCGGAGGCTAAAAATCTGTGAGCTAGCTCATACTAACTCAGCTTAGAGGGAACACTGGGGGGAAGTACCTTACATTTCCATACATAGCAGCTGCTTGTGGGCCAGGTAAGAGCCCTGGACGGGCCAGTTCCGGCCCCCGGGCCTTATGTTTGACACCCCAGTCTTAGATTTATTATTTATTTATTTTATCTTTAAATTTATATCCCGCCCTCCCCGAAGGCTCAGGGCGGCTCACAAGGGGCATGAATGCCCAAGTTAAAACGTTAAAACAGTACAGAATAATATAAAATACAATAACTACAGTACACTAAAATTTACTTTACGGTGCTCTGAAATTAGTTAACTATAAAATTCAAGATGGGGTTCTAAAAATACTAACAAGCAACAATAATAACAGTCAATATAGCAGCAACAATGTACGTCCATACAGCGTTGTTCTCTGCCAGGCACGTCTTGCACCCTCAATAGTCCCCGCTCCGGGGGTGGTCAATTTGCGGGACCAATAAGGGGGACGTAGATAGAACGATGGTGATGATGGCAACATGATGATGATGCCGTAATGATGGTGGCGGCGGCTCCTACTCAAAGGCCTAGATGGTTTAGACACATTCATGGAGGAGCTATGATGCATGATAGCTAAGTGGAACTACCCTGGCTAGAAGCGGCATACCCCTGAACACCAGTTTATGGGGAACGATAGTATGGAGATACTGTCTTTTGTGACGTGCTTCCTGGTTTCTTGGAGGCACCTGGTTGGCCACTTGTGGGAATCAGGGTGCTAGATTAGGTAGATCTTTGCTGTGATCTAGCAGTGTTCTTCTGTTGGTATCTGAAACCACAAAGGATGCAGCTGAGATGTGGCTTCTAAGCATCTGTGGACCACAGCTTATCTTCTCCAATGACTGAGCTGAGGAAGCTTAATGAGACCAAGGGGAGGAGGGAACCTCTATGGTCACGGTCTCTCCCTTTTTGCCCACAGCCTCTGAGGAAGCAGAGAGCACCAGTGAGGCTCCGACCACAGATAGCGACGAAGTGGTGGTAGCAGCACCCGGGATGCAGGAGCCTCCGGAGCTGGTAAGTATGAAGTCATAAGAAACTCAGAAGAGCCCTGATGGATCAGACCAATAGTCCAGCGTCCTGTCTCACATGGTGGCCTACCAGTTCCTCTGGAGGGCCAACAACAGGGCATTGAGGCCGAGGCTTTCATAAGAAACTCAGAAGAGCCCTGCTGCTGGATTAGACCAATAGTCCAGCGTCCTGTCTCACATGGTGGCCTACCAGTTCCTCTGGAGGGCCAACAACAGGGCATTGAGGCCGAGGCTTTCATAAGAAACTCAGAAGAGCCCTGCTGGATCAGACCAATAGTCCATCTAGTCCAGCATCCTCTCTCACACAATAGCCAATCAATTCCTCTGGACCGCCAACAATGGGGGATAGAGGCTGAGACCTTCATAAGAACCTCAGAAGAGCTCTGCTGGATCAGACCAGTGGTACTTCTAGTCCAGCATCCTCTCTCACAGTAGCCAATCAGTTCCTCTGGACCACCAACAATGGGGGATAGAGGCTGAGACCTTCATAAGAACCTCAGAAGAACCCTGCTAGATCAGACCAATGGTCCATCTAGTCCAGCATCCTATCTCACACAGTAGCCAATCAATTCCTCTGGACCACCAACAATGGGGGATAGAGGCTGAGACCTTCATAAGAACCTCAGAAGAACCCTGCTAGATCAGACCAATGGTCCATCTAGTCCAGCATCCTATCTCACACAGTAACCAACCAGTTCCTTTGTTTGGCCAATAACAAAGGATAGAGGCCAAGGTCTTCCCCTGAGGTTGCCTCCTGTGTCTGGGATTCAGAGGATTAATGCTTCCGAACGTGGAGGTTCCCCTCAGCCACCATGTTTAGTAGCCGTTGACGGACCTAATGCTCCATGAATCTATCTAATCCCCTTTGAATGTTGTTTATTCCTGTGGCCATCACACATTTTAATCACTCTCTGTGTAAAGTAGTCTTTCCTTTTGTCCGCCCTGAACCTGCTGCCCATCAGCTTCATTGGTTGCCTTCCAGTTCTAGCCTTTTGGGAGTGTCTTCCATTGAAGTGGGGTGTGGGCCACATTGAAAGCTATTGGATCTTTAACTAAGTTGTTTCTGAGGGGTTCAGCCCCATCACAGTCTACTCCTGAAGACCACTGACAGCTGAATGTATGAACTGTTGACAGAGCGATAACGAAAGTTCTGTTGGCCCTCCTAACCCTACTGGCGAATGGCCAGGCTTTGGCTAAGGTAAGGCTTCTCCCCGGGCCAATTATTTTACCTCAGGTAGTGATTCTCGGTCTTGTGTGAGAAACCTACTGCAGGCAACACGGAAAGAGGAGCTGGTCTGAACACCCGAGACTGGTGGAAGGGGATGGAGGGAGATTTGTAACGATGGGGTTTCAATCTTGGCTCGACCTACCTCCCAGGGTTGTTGTGAAGATAAAATGGAGGAGAGGTGAATAAATGTGTTCCACTCTGGGTCCCCGCTGGGGAGAACGGTGGGGCATAAAAATTAGCATATGAGGCTAGCCCAGCCTCATCAGAGCTCGGAGAGAGCCAGCGTGGTATCATGGTTAAAGAGCAACAGACTCTAATCTGTAGGACCAGGTTTGATTCCACACTCCTCCACATGCAGCCAGCTGGGTGACCTTGGGTCAATCACAAGTACTCTCAGAGCTCTCTCAGCCCAAAACATGTCTAGCTTACCATCCAGTGGTGCATAACACCTAAAAAGCTAGAGCTTCAGGGTGCCAGACAATCCTAGGATCCCCTGGCTATACTACACACAATGCTATATGGTAATTAATGAAGTAGTCAGATCTCGGAAGCTCAGCAGGGTCCACATGAAGCCGCCCTGAGCCTTCGGGGTAGGGCGGGACATACATCTAAATCTAAATAAATAAATAAATAAAATAAAGCCCACATTTCCCTGGGTCAGCCTATCAATTCCCACACCGGCTCTCGGTGCAAGCAAGACTGTTCTCTGGCCAAGACCCCAGAGGGCCTTCACCAGCCAGAGGGGTATTGGAAAGGGCTGTCAAGTCATAGCTGGCTTAGGGCAATCCTGTGAGATTTTCAAGACAAGAGACCTTCAGAGGTGGTTTGCCTTTGTCTGCCTCTGCATAGCAACCCTGGGCTTCCTTGGTGGTCTCCCACCCAAGTACTAACGGAAGCTAACCCTGCTGAGCTTCCGAGATTCATTAATTACCATCTAGCATTGTGTGTAGTATAGCCAGGGGATCCTAGGATTGTCTGGCAGCCTGAAGTTCTAGCTTTTTCAGTGTTATGCACCACTGGGTGGTAAGCTAATGTTTTGGGCTGACTTAACAGGGCTCTTTTTGTAGCAGGAACTCCTTTGCATATTAGGCCACACCCCCTTAATGTAGCCAATCCTCCAAGAGCTTACAGTGCTCTCCTTACAGGGGATACTGTAAGCTCTTGGAGGATTGGCTACATTAGGGGTGTGTCGCTTAATATGCAAATGGGTACCTGCTACAAAAGAGCCCTGGGGCTGAGAGAGCTCTGAAGGAGCTGTGACTGGCCCAAGGTCACCCAGCTGGCTTCATGTGGAGGAGAAGTGGAGAATCAAGCCCGGTTCTCCAGATTAGAGTCTGTTGCTCTTTAACCACACTGATACCACACTGGCTCTCTCCGAGCTCTGATGAGGCTGGGCTAGCCTCATATGCTAATTTTTATGCCCCACCTTTCTCCCCAGCGGGGACCCAGAGTGGAACACATTTATTCACCTCTCCTCCATTTTATCCTCACAACAACCCTGGGAGGTAGGCAGTGTTCCCTCTAAGCTGAGTTAGTGTGAGCTAGCTCACAGTTTTTTAGCCTCCGGCTCACATATTTTTGCCTTAGCTCAGGAAGGATGGCTCCAGAGCAAACTGATTTATGCAGTAGCCTAATGCCTTGCTCACGACTTTAATGCCAGCAGCTCACAAAGTAGAATTTTTGCTCACAAGACTCCACAGCTTAGAGGGAACATTGGAGGTAGGTCGAGCCAAGATTGTGTGACTGGCCTGAGGACAACCAACAACTTTCAGTGGCGGAGTGGTGATTCGAACCTGGGCTTCCCAGGTCCTAGTCCAGCACTCTAACCACTGCACCACACTGCCTGTTCCACACTTACCAATCCCGTGAACACTCACAGGGAATTGTCTGTCCTTGCAACTCTCATCATCAACATCTCTGAGGAGGCTGATTCTCCCCTGTGGATCTTGTAACACTCCAAGTACAGATGCTGGTGGTCAGACATGATCCCATTGGCAGTTACAAGCATAGAAAGCTTCAAGAGGGGATTGGATAAATGTATGGAGCAGAGATCCATCAGTGGCTATTAGCCACACGGTATAGATGGAACACTCTGTCTGGGGCAAGTGTACCTTATTGGGTATTGTAAATAAGAAGCGGGAGACTGACCAGTTATGAAGGTGCACAGATAGTTTATATAGTTATAAAGGTGAATATATACAGAGATATTTACAGGCTATTGAACAGCATGTCATGCCTTAGTCTATGAGAACTGAGTCCCCATCCATTTTACTAAGCTGATAGCTATTATGCTAAACCCCAGCCAATCTCTAACAAGGTGATGTAATCACTAACTCTAACAAGACCCGAAAGAGCAACACCTGCTAGAAAACACCTGGCTGTAAAATTACATGACTACTAGCATGACAGCTAGGTCTGACAAACAGATCAAACTGATCTATAGTAACTGCTTGCTACCTCTATCAATCTCTGACATATATCTCAATAATCCTCTGTATTCTTGGTGCTTGTGGGGCAACAGTGGGAAGGCTTCTGGAGTTCTGGCCCTACTGGTGGGCCTTCCTGATGACACCTGGGTTTTGGCTGCTGTGTGACACAGAGTGTTGGACTGGATGGACCACTGGCCTGATCCAACATGGCTTCTCTTACGTTATGTCTGAGGCAGTGATGGTCTATATTCTTGGTGCTTGGGGAGTAACAGTGGGAGGTCTTCTGGAGTCTCGCCCTGCTGGTGGACCTCCTGATGGCACTTGGGTTTTGGCCACTGTGCAACACAGAGTGTTGGACTGGATGGGCCACTGGCCTGATACAACATGGCTTCTCTTACGTTCTTATGTCTGAGGCAGTGATGGTCTATATTCCTGGTGCTTGGGGAGTAACAGTGGGAGGTTTTCTGGAGTCTGGCCCTGCTGGTGGACCTCCTGATGGCACCTGGGTTTTGGCCACTGTGCGACACAGAGTGGTGGACTGGATGGGCCACTGGCCCGATTCAACATGGCTTCTCTTATGTTCTTAATAAATAATAATAATACTTTCAGTTTATTAATCGCTTTCCCCAGTAGGCTCAAAGCGATGTACAGTTACACATTAGACAGGGGACTAACAATGTTCAAAGGGGATAGGGAGGACAACATATATTCATTTTTAATTGTACACGCTGTCACTGCACGGTGTAAACGTCTTCTGGCTTGGCTCAGTCATTTTCCGAACGGCTGCTTGTCGACCAGGCTTCAGGACCCGTATGTCACATCGCCACACTGCCACCGCCTGGCCGGAGACATCCACTGCAGGGATTTTTGTAGCCAAGAAGTTCTTCCGCCTTTTCCCGAACCTCGACCAGGAAGTCCCGACCGTCAACTAACGCCCTCCCACAAGGGAGATTGGTGTGCCCACCCTCTCTAAGGAGTGGTTCCCATTTTATCTACTCGCCGAAGCTTTCGAATCGCTGGGTGGACGATGAGCTGGGGACAACAGGCTGGCTGCTCACACCAGCGCGGGGCTCGAACTAACACAGTTCGGATGTTAAGACAGTGGGATATACCCACTGTGCCACCGCTTGGCCCGCTTTAACCAAATTGCCCTTCCTCCCTAATGGTTCTAAGAGTTTCAGCCAAGCTGTTTCTGAACAAGGGACTCTGTTTTGTACTCCTTAGCGGCTTTTAGACCGAATTCGCGTGGAGGTGGTCTCTCTCAGCCTACACCCAGACAGCGAACCAGTCGCCAATGAGGGCATCCAGCAACTCTATGTGGAGTACCACTTCCCGGGAGTGCCGCTGGAGGAAACGGAGACCCCCTTCTCATTACGGAAGCCTCTCGGAGGCCAGGAGATCTACTTCCACTTCAGCAAGGGTGAGTGCATAGTAGGACTCTCGTGACATATGGAATCTGTAGGCGGGAGGGGGACGGCTTCCCTAGCCGCTTGCTGGGCTCATTGGCAGGCAGACGCATCAGCATCCGGGCCCCCAAGATGAACGTTAAGTCTTCTTTACAAATTCTGTATCCATCTTTGGTAGGCCCCACTAGCTCTTAGAAAGTAAAAACTGCTCCATTTGAACCCTGGACACTGCTGATGGGCTGTGCATGCTCGGTTGTAGTCATTTTGGTTAGTTTTAATGCTGACGTTTGTAATTATGTTACCTGTGTCAGATTGTAATGGCCTTTGGAAACAGACAATAAACTTTTTCAGGGCTCTTTTTGTAGAAAAAGCCCAGCAGGAACTCATTAGCATAATAGGCCACACCCAACAGCAGGAGATCGTTAGCATATTAGGCCACACCCCTGACAGCACAGCTCATTAGCACATTAGGCCGCACCCCCATGTTACCAGAAGTGTGGTCATCCAGCCACACCCACCTTTTGCTTGTTATTCTGCTTACCTTGTTTGTTGTCAAAACCCAGGGCTTTTTTTGTAGCAGGGACTCCTTTGCATGTTAGGCCACACACACCTACTGTAGCCAATCCTAATGATTTTCTGCTGTTGGGTGTGGCCTATTATGGTAATGAGTTCCTGCTGGGCGTGGCCAACTTGGGAGCCAGCCGGAACTCCGTTCCTGCCCAAAAATAGCCCTGCTTTTACTACTACTGTCTACTACAAATTGATCATCCATGTAATACTCCAGTACAATAAGCTGAACCAGTTAAATACCATGAATGTACAGGGAAAACTTTCCAAGCACTTTCAATAATTTCATTAAGCTCCCCCCATTTTAAATCAACTTTTTGTCCTAGGTTAGGTGTGCACAATGGTATTATAATACTGCTCATACACCTCCTATTTTATAGTTAAACTGATGAATAGGAGAATGCAGATTCTTTGTTGAGAACACCCCTGTTCACAAGTTACAGTGAATGCATGGATCATCCCTGAACAGTGTACTCGATTGTTCTTTGTATGCGCATCGAGTTAATTCTCATCTTCTAGACAATGCATGTACACCTGAATGTGATACAAGCCCCATATTTACCCAGGGACTGGTCCCCCATTCCGTTCTTAAACCGAATGCACGTTGGCTATTCCTTACAAGCAGATGGTATATGCAGGAAGTTGGTATACAGACAAGATGTTCCCGCATTCACTGCTTTTACACCTGTTGAATGAATACCCTTTTAGTGCACTTTACGGCTGGATTTTTAGAGTGAAACTGCAAAACCCACTTGCGATGGATCACAGAAGTGCACTGGAGGTGGATTGAAAGTGGCAGCATTTGACTGTGTTCTCTGGTGGATGGATGGAGGGGGGGGGGAACCACACCGTTTTGTGTACATCCACGTGCTCAGCGTGAATCGGCTCAAATTTATTTTTATTTATTATATTTATATCCCGCCCATCCTGCGAACAGGCTCAGGGCGGCTAACAAGAGCGGTACAATGTACCTCATTGGCGTAAACCATAAAAGTCTAAAACAACATAAAAAGTACATACTGACTAACAAATGCAAAACCCACCCTGCATTCTTCTCCTGCAGTGATTAAACTGGACCCGGACCCAGCCAGCATTCAGAGGCAGCTGCTGTTTTCCATGCTGGTGGTGGAGGAGCCACCGCATAACCAGTGAGCATCCCCTTGCGCACCCCTCCCCCCTAACTTGCCAGAGGGGGGACAGTGTGCCCACAGCCCCTGGATTCACGGTGTTCTTCCTTCAATACAGGCTGCAGTTCGTAGTGGTGAGTGAACCTCTGCCCGGGGCCAGAGGAGAGTGTGAGGACGTGGGCTTTGCCTATCTGGACCTGCGGCAGATCCTCCTGACAGGAAGTGACGTCCTGCAGCAGAACCTGCCAGGTAGTAGTAGTAGTAGTAGTAATAATAATAATAATAATAATAATAATAATAATAATAATACTTTAGATTTATTAATCGCTTTCCCCACAAGTGGGCTCAAAGTGATTTACAGTTACTCTTTAGACAGGGGACTAATAATGTTTTTCATAGGGGATAGGGAAGACAACATATAATTCATTTAAGTTGCACACGCAGTAGATTCTTCCGCCTTCCGGGTCCAGACCAGGACGTCTCCAACCGAGAGCTAACACCTTCCCAGAAGGGAGTCTCTAAGGAGTGGTTCCCATTTTATCTACCCGCTGAGGCTTTCGAATCACTGGGTGGACGATGAGCTGGGGAAGACAGGCTGGCTGCTCACACCAGCGCGGGGCTCGAACTGACACAGTTCGGATGTTAAGGCAGTGGGATATACCCACTATGCCACCGCTCCCGCTAAGAAGCTGCATCCCATCTGCACTGGATCCCATCTGCACTGAAGTCTAGGGCACCCCCAGCCAGTGTTCCCTCTAAGCTGAGTTACTGTGAGCTAGCTCACAGTTTTTTTAGCTTCCGGTTCACACATTTTTGCCTTAGCTCAGGAAGGAGGGCTCCAGAGCTAACTAATTTATGCAGTCGCCAAATTGCTCACTCACAACTTTAATGCCAGTCGCTCCCAAAGGAGGATTTTGGCTCATGGGACTCCACAGCTTAGAGGGAGCATTGCCCCCAGCCTTGTTGTGCTTGTGGCGGAGGCAGCATGTCCTTGGGGTAAGATGGGCTGAGTTCCAAGGTGGCCCCCAAAACGTCTTAAGCCCCGTTCATTTTGGAGGCTGTTCACCGTCGTCACACAGTACAGTGGCTTAACCAAACTACAGTGAATGGCTTACTGTGACCGTCTGAATGCAGGTCACTGTGGCTAGGCCGGTGGCAGAAAGCACCTCCAAGTCTTATGACGCTGTCGTTTTCAAGGCAAGAGATGCTTAGGGGTGGGTGGCTGTTGCCTGTGTTGCCATAGCAGCCCTGGACGTCTTTGGTGGTGGCCCATCTGACTACTAACCAGGACCGACCCCTGCTTAGCTTCCTGGGAGGTCTGGGCCATCCAGGGCACGGCATGGTTAGGATTTGTCAAACCGGCATGCAGAAGCGTGGTGACAAGTTGGCTCGGTAACCTCAGTTCGTCTGAAGGATGGTTTCAGGTGTTGTGTGAATGCAGGGGTCATTTCATAGAAAAAGAGGTGCAGCTCATTAGCATAACTTATCTGCATAGGCCACACCCCCTGACATCACCTGAAGTGTGTCAGAAGGCAACACCCACCGCTCAGGCTCCACTGGACTGTTTTGGATTGCTAGCTATTTGGGGGGGAGGGAGGAGTACAAATCTGCCCACGCAGAGGAGGGAGAGCTTGTACCTGAATAAAACTTGGTCTTAAAGGTGCCACTGGATGGTTTTGGACTGGGGGGAGCTCTGCAACTTACCTGGCTGCTTCTTGCTCTGACTGAGGGCTGCTGGGAACAGGGGGCGGGGCTTGTTGCACGTGCCCGCCCCCTGGGCTCTTTACTACCGGAGCTCTGCTCCTGCACGCTCCTGCAAGAAATGACCCCTGTGTGAATGTGAGATCCTGGCTTGTTCCCTGGGGCTCCTCCAGCCCCAGTGCAGGCTGGGATATAAGCAAAGTAAACGTGGAAAAACACCGTGTTAAAACAAAACACACAATTCTGGTATGCTACTGTGCCTTCATATATTCATTTAAATCATATACTTAAATGTACAATAAAGACCCTCGTGTATCTTGTTATAGTACATTGATAACAAAACCCTAAATATCTATCTTGTAGAAAAGTCCACAGCTACAGAGACGAATATGCAGACATGATTCAGTGCTGTAGACTCTCTTGCTTTCTGATGAGAGATGCAACAGTCGTCAATGCCAATATCATAGGCTGTTTTGTGTTCCAAAAAGAGATGCAGCAAGCATTGAAGCAACACACCTCACGGGTGTTTTCCCACATTTACTCAACCTTACCGTGTTTTCTGTGTGTTCGTTGTCATTCCTCATTGGGATATAAGCTAAGCCGGGGGGCGGAGACAAGGTGACGAACCAGGATCTGAATGGCCACCTGCTCGCTGAAGCCCGGTTTGACAAGGCAACCGCAGTGGACATAAAGCACAGCTTCATATGACGCCTGAACTGAGGTTTTGGTTGCTCCGGATTCGAACAGCTAGATCCAGTAACACCTCAGAGGCCAACAAGATGTGCAGGGTAGAAGCTTTCGAGAGTCAAACTCCCTTTGCAGGCTTCGACTCGAGGAAGGTTATGGCCAGTGTTCCCTCTAAGCTGAGTTAGTGTGAGCTAGCTCAGTTTTTTAGCCTCCGGCTCACACATTTGTCTCAGCTCAGGAAGGATGGCTCCAGAGCAAACTAGCTTATGCAGTAGCCAAATCGCTCGCTCACAACTTTAATGCCAGTAGGTCACAAAGTAGAATTTTTGCTCACAAGACTCCACAGCTTAGAGGGAGCATTGCTTATGACCCCCCCCCCCCAATTTTGTTGGTCCCTAAGTTGCTACTGGTCTCGAATGTAGAAGAGGAGGAGGTTTGGATTTATACCCCGCCTTTCACTACCCGAAGGAGTCTCAGAGCGGCTTACAGTCTCCCTCCCCTTCCCCTCCCCACAACAGACACCCTGTGAGGTAGGTGGGGCTGAGAGAGCTCTTGACAGAAACGGCTGTTTGAAGAACAGCTGTGCCAGAACTATGGCTTGCTGCCCCTGTGAATCTGTATTGAAAACACATCTTCGGTGTCTTCCCCCTAGCAAGCGTGATAGAAACACTGTTAATGAATGCTACGCTCATGTTTTCCAGGTACCAGCCTGTCATGTCCACAGCAAAATGCTGCTGCATCTCTTTATGGTATTAATTACAACAAACCAGACCACGGTGTATGTAAGCTAAGTAAAACACTAAATCACCGTGTATAATTTTACAAGTTTTATAACTTTTTTATATATGCTAAGTATAAATTTTTAGAGTATTTTTGGAGTAATTAACAAGAATACTGCTTAAGCGTTAACCATGAAGCTCAACATATATAACTCCTATGGTGATATTTACAGCCAGTAATGAAGTCTTATCTTAGACTCAAGGTCCTAATGTGATACACTCAAAAATACTCTAAAAATTTATACTTCGCATATATTAAAAAAGATTTAAAAAATTGTAAAATTATACACGGTGATTTAGTGTTTTACTTAGCATCTCCTTATGGGCCTGCCCTTTCTAACCTCTCTTATCTTACGTCTCTGCTGAGAGCCAATTTGGTGTAGTGGTTGAGTGCGTGGCCTCTATTCTGGGGGAACCAGGTTTGATTCCCCACTCCTCCGCTTGCACCTGCTGGAAGACCTTGGGCAAGCCGTAGTTCTGATAAGAGCTGTTCTTGAAAAAGAGCAGTTTCTGTCAGAGCTCTCTCAGTCCCACCCACCTCACAGGGTGTCTGTTGTGGGGAGGGGAAGGGAAAGGCGTTTGTAAGCACCTCTGAGACTCCAGTGAAGGGCGGGGCATAAATCTAATCTCTTCTTCTTCTTCTTCTTTCAGTTGTCAGTCCCCTGGACCCCAACAATAGCATTGGTCTGCTGAGAGTCTCTGTGGAAGCGGCGGCTGCCCTGCGCCTCATCTACTGGGCGGGCAAAAGAACAAGCAGCGAGGGGGTGTGACCGGCAGGGTGCTGAGCACGGAACAGGTTCTAGGACCAAACTCAACCAAACCTGGGGTTGTGGGGTGGCGGGTGGGGTGTCGTTTGCGAGGAAGAAGCCAACCAATAAACTTTCCAAATCCTTAAAAAAAAACAATTTTTATTGATCAGTTTTTTTTTCCAAAGTCAAAAATACCGAGTGCTAACGGCTACGAAAAAAAGAGGATCCGAGAAAGCCCCCTCCCCGCCCTGAATCAGTGACCCCCCCCCCCGAGAAGAAAAGCAAAGGGGGGGGGAAGGGCAGAGGGCAGGCGATGAATTCGACCCCTCCTGTCCCCCCTCCCTCTCCTAAAACACTTTGCTCACTGGAGACCTGACGGAGAAAAAGAAAACAGATACATACGGACAGCGCCTGACAATCTGAAAAAATTAGCAAGAGCCCTTTTCTCCGCGTGCCTCTCTTTCCTCCCCTCCCCGTCACTGTTCCGAGATGGGAGTCTTCTGCACGCTGCGGGGTTTCAATGTGAGAAACTGAACGGGGAAGGCCCCGTTTTCCCCAGCAGCGCCTGGCGTCTGCTTCACTGAAGCGCTTGTTCTCAGGTGCAAATCTCAGGCCGGCAGTCCCCCCTCCCCCTCCGATCTGTCCAAGAACAAAGATCCTGGGAGTCAAGGAAAGGAGCGGCGGGGGGAGATAGCTCAAAGTCGGTAGACCCCCTGGGAGAGGGGGAAAGACGAGGGCGAAAGAAAAGAAGTGACGGGAACGGCAGAGAAGCGCATCGCTGA